GTCCTTGTTTAACAACCACTTATTCAGCAACCATTCAAACTTACAATGGCGCTGAATAAGGGGTAATTATGACCGGTCCTCATGGCCAGCAGAGCATGATCGCCATTTGACACCTTTGCCAGCTTCCTGTAAGCAAAGTCAATGGGGAAGCCAGCAAAAGGTCGCAAATGGTGACCACATGATGTCCTTGCTTAATGACCCACAGTGATTTGCTTAACGTCAACTGGGGTGCCAGAATTTCTGTTCCTAAGCAATGTGGTCATGTGACAATGCTTTTTACAACCATGTCACTTAGTGATGGAAATTCCGGTCCCAGTTGCTGTCGTTAAGTGAGGACTACCTGCAACTAAATAAGTTGGGTTGGAGTTGATTAGTATCTAGACATGAGACCTAGAAATCCGCAAAGTTGCAAGAAATCCCCAAAGAAAGCTGAAGCGATCCACTTCTAAGTTGCTGTTAAAAAAAACAACAAAAAAACCCAGCATGGATAAGTCCACATAGTCACCAGAGTCAAGTTTGACTCAAGAGACATTATACCGTTTTAAGCCTCCCATGCAAAGCCAGCTTGCTAGGTGCATACTGTATAGGGTGCATTGGAATGGATGGGTTGTATATGCTCAACACACTGAACCACAAGCTGAACTAAAAATTAACCAAACTTGTTCTAGCCTCATACATTGTATGAACCCAGCCTGTATAGTTTATAGTTTATACTCTGGTGTTCATGCAAATCCAACCCATACTTATACTACCCATAGGTAAGTCTACTGGGTGGACAGAGCCAGGAGGAGGAAGGGAGAGAAGTGAAGCCTGCCCAGAAACCTCCTCCAGAGCTCCCTCTGGCCCCACCAGGGCTTTTGCCCTGGAATTGTTTCTTAAAATATCATGAACGCTATTTGTATGATCATTGATGTATTTGTAAGCTGCCTTGATAGGATTTGTATCTTGAAAAGTGGGATATAAGTAATCTCTATAGACACATACCTACATATATATAGCCATCACACTATTCCCTTTTGAGTAAGCAACATTATGCAAAATGCAAAAAGGAGTCTAATAGATGAAGGCAGGGTGTAAAAAAAGGAAACAGAGCTTTCTTCCTTTTCATCATTTTTTTCCTTGGGCACTAACTTCTACAGCGCTTATTTCAATTCCATTTAATATATCACTATTATTCTTCCAGTGTTCATCCCGAATAATTTAATCACTTTTATTTAAATTGTATTTGTAATAGTAATTTTATTAAAGATTACAATTTACAATAAAAACTAATACAAACTAAAAAAATAAAAGAATAAAAAAGTAAAAATAAAAGGTATAGAAAAGAAAAGAAGAAAAAAATAGGAAGAAAAATAGAAAATAATAAATAATAAAGAAAAAAGAAATATATAAAGAAGTT